TACTTCTCTAGCTTTCAGTTATTACATGAGATAGGAATCATTTCTTACCTTATTCATTTGTTTCAAAAGATTCACATTGAGAACATTGAATTCTCTGTTATCTTTTGCCATAATTTCAGCATGCTTTTATGAGTTGGTGTTCTTTCTAATGTTCTGATGTCTTTATTTCCTTCCCCGTAGTTCGCGAACTTGACGTTCCAGGCGAATTATATGAAAGAAAAACATATCCATTCGAATTTTCAACTGTAGAGATGCCATATGAGACATACAATGGGATAAATGTGCGACTTAGGTAAGTTACTTATTGTGTACCATGGCAATGTGATTTAGCCCCCGTTTGTTTCTCATTTTTTGAAGAATGAAAATGAAAATGAAAAATATAGTTGTTATGGACCCCATATAAGAAATAGAAATTCAAATTTGATGGCTTAATGTGATGGATAATGGTCATATTTTTCATTTTAATGAAAAAATAATGGGAACCAAATAGGTGCTTAGTTGTATACCTTAACTTTTGGCTTTTGTCTGTCTTAATACATTTCATAAATTATAATCTTTTTTCTTTATTTCTGGGAGAAAGTAAAGCATAGCTTGTAGGGGATTAAGAAGTGGGTTTAATTCAAGATATTAGGGGTTGAAGTGGCCTCTAAACCATTGAATCTGTGACAACTGGGATTCATATTTACTAGAGTTTATTAAATTTTTTCCACTTTTCTAATTACTTCTGGCGCTCAAGAGATTTGTTTTTAAGCTATAAGGTGATTTTTCTTTACTTTCCATGTTTCATCTTCTAAATGACATATTGTTCTGTTTAAACAGTGAACTTGTGGTTAAGAGATTGTTTGAAAAGTTTAACTTTCATACCATCTTCCTAACTACTTTAAGCTTTCAATAATTTATGGCTGTAAATATTGAAAATTATTTGAAGCTTTGAGCTTTTCTTGTACTTGTGGTATTGTTGTGGAAAATTGAAGTCAGTTATCACTATGAACTGATTCCTTTGAACTGCATGGACTTGTAAGACAAAAAATGATGTATCCTTGTTTTACTATTAAGTTTTATTTAATCTCGTATCTTTCTGATGGGAGCAATGAAGTATCTGATATTAATTCTATCTCAGCCTTATGGAACTTTGTGCTTGTTTCAGGTATGTACTCAAGGTGACAATAAATCGGGGCTATGCGGGTAGCATAGTGGAATACCAAGATTTTGTGGTAATGCAGCTTTTCTAATACTCATTGACATTAAAAAACATGCATTTAATATCATCATGAGATGCCTTATGAACTCTTGAGGGCATTTATTTCCATCTTTTCTTCGAGATCTTGAACTTTGTTAACACCGTCAATGATCTTCAAGGCATTTAGTGCATGTTTGGTTCTGATTTTTCTCTCCAAAAAATCAATTTTTTGACCATTAATTCCGTGATTCAGCCATCATTTTTGACTTCTCTCACAGGTGAGACCCACTTTTCTCTCTAACGGTCAAAAAATTAATTCTCATAATCACTACCGAACAAGCTCTTAGTTTTGTGTAATTATACATTGGTAAAGAGAATTTATACAGTAAACATAAGAGTGATGACATTTTAAATTGTCTGGGTGGGTAACTAAGGATTGGAGCTTTGTATTATAACAATGGACATGGCCATTTATGGAGCAGAGGGTATAGGATCGATGTAGTTAACCTGCGTAAGTATGAGACAAAGCTTTGTCTAGTTGAATTAAAGACCATATATTCCACCTGCGAGGTAGTTATGACTTGGGAGGAAATTATGCTTTTACTTTTGTTTCCTTATTACTGAATCTTCTTATATCTATTGTGATATAATGGGAAGTTATACTATTAATGAATCTGTTCTACTACTATTATCGTATATTTGTAAGCCTTCGATCCCCTGTTTCGTGCATATCTATTAATTTATACCACCTCAATATAGTCTTTGATTTGACTTGAGTAGCATGGTTATCGATTGCTTCAAATCCCCAATTGCTAATGGTCACTAATTCGTAGCGATGTCTAATTCGTGCTTCTCTGCTCTTATCAAATTGTCGGTATACAATAATGTGGTCAATTTTATGCTAGGAGAAAAAGTTCTATTACAACTGGAACAAATTTTCCCTTTCCATTCCATTCTTTTTACTCACGATAATCCTTCACTACTTTAGAACTAATATTTTCATGCAATGCTATTTTCAGATAATATGAGTTTTTTCTGGTTTTAGGAGTTCGTATTAAGTTATACTGATTTGGTTATGTGTTCCTTTATGATTCAGGTTTGGAACTATACCCCTCCTCCAGCCATCAACAATAGTATCAAGGTATTATGGTTTTAAAGTAAAGTACTTTATTGGTTGCACTATTAGGCCCCTATATGTTTACCATTCTCCAAAACTCTTTATTTATTTTTATTTTTTTCTAAAATTCATTTTCAACAACACATTCTCACAATAAAATATTTTGCAAGTAAACTCATAACTTTTTCACTCATTTTCCCCAAAAAATTCTTTTTAGTGGGCATCCAACAGGGGCTAGATGGTTATACCGCTCTTTGCTTCGAAAGCATTAAGGAAGATGTTTTAAGCAAATGCAGAGATTCTAAATTCAACTTCCTGGATACTTGGCACAACAATTCTTTTTGTAACTATTTATCCCTTGTTTGATTTTGGATTTGTCAAAATCACTTTTCCTCAAACTCATATTCAAACACACATTCTTTCAATAAATAATTTTTCACTTGAAACATAACTTTTCCTTACTTTATAATTACATATTCTTAAAAATTAAAAAAAAAAAAAAGTCGCTTTTCTCAAAATCACTTCTCAAAAAATCAAAATCAAACAAGGGCTTAAAAATACTCCATTTATCCCTAATGTTTAAACTTGCAGATGGAAGTTGGAATTGAAGACTGTCTTCACATAGAGTTCGAGTACAATAAGAGCAAGTAAGTAGTTCTATCATTATTTTTGTTTTGTATTACTATTTTCCTATGGCCAATTTGGAATTATTAAGCCTCCGTTTGGCTCCATTAAAATTATAATTCATTTTCCTCTCTTTTTTTTATCAATCACACATTCTCTAATAAAATAATATTAACACGTAAAACCAAAACTTTTGCTTCTTTTTTAACTACACACTCTTCAAAAAAACACTAATCAAAAAATTATAATCTCAAATAATGGGGGACAAATGGGGCCTAAGCTTCGAAAATTTGGAATTTGTGGCTAAAATTCTTCTAAAGACCTTATTTGTTAGATTTAGTTCTATGCCATTTTCTCCTGAGTTCATTCACCCCAGATCTCATATTTGACCTACCAATACCCTTTTCCTGACTAGGAGCTATGTTCTTAATCACTGTAGGAGCGAGTTTTTCAAGTTTGGTACCCATTTCTAAAGATTGATAATCCCCATTTGTAATCAAACGGTCCTTGTAGTTTCGAGAGGGTTACTTTTCTCTGTATGGGTGTTTGTTATGGGTAAATAATAACATCCCGCTGGTTGTACTTATTGAGTATCCAGGTATCATCTAAAAGATGTTATTATCGGCAAAATATATTTTCTTCTTGTAAGAATCAAGCTAAAGAATATGGATCTTGAGATCAGACGTCGAGAATCAACTGGTTCAGGTGTGAACACCCATGTTGAGACAGAGACACTCGCGAAATATGAGCTAATGGATGGTGCTCCAGTTAGAGGTATACTAAGAAGCATCCTTTATTTGCAACTTGCTTTTGTTCATCACATTACGTGCATTATTTGATTCCTCTTTTCACAGGCTACTTTTTCCTTCTCTCTCTCTCTCTCTCTTTTTTTTTTTTTTTTTTTTTTTTTTTTTTTTTTG